TGAATCGACTGAAACATACAGGACACTGGTAAGGACGCTCCCCCGTGTGTGAACGCAAGTGTATTTGCAGGGATGAATCACCGCTGAAGAGTTTCCGACAAAATCGGCATGCATGCTGCGTACGCCCTGACGATGAGACAGTCGTACCTCCTTGAGCAGAGAGTTTTGGATCCTGTGAGGGGGCTGAAGGGACAGCAGCTGCTGGTATAGATTGGTTTGGGAAGGTCACACCACTGTGTCCACTAGTTCCTGTGGTGAATGATTTTTGGGATGGAAGGCCAAGAGAAAATGTGAGTGGATAGTTCGAGGCAGCAGCTGTAGACATTGATGAGGATGTGGAAGCACTTGTGTGACTGGTGAAGCTTGCTGGAGTAACTACGCTGCTGTCATACTGTGCTTTATGGGGGCGTAAGACATTCAAGAGAGGGTGGGTATGTTTGGAGGACTTAGAGGTGGTCTGAGGGGGTAGCAGGGATGAGAAACAGGCCAAAAGAGGAGCTACAGAGGTAGGGGGAGGTGATGACTTTGGTCGGGAAGGTTTGGGGTTGTTAACAGAACCTTTTAAATAGAGCTGTGGCAAAGATGGTAGTGTAAATGGTTTTGAATCCACTTCACAAGATCCTCCTCCCAATCTCAGTACTTGCCTACAGATTTCTTCAGTCATCTGCATCTGATGAATTTGCCTCTGCTGCAGCACACGTAGCTCCTCCAAGATAAAAGCAATACTGACGGGTGCACATGCTGGGGCTGAGGGGACTGTGCTTGGGCTGGAAGAGGGTGTAACTGGACTTGGAGGACCCTGAGGCACTGAACTAGGGCTTCCAGGGTGTGGAGGCACACAGAGAGAAGCAGCAGCAGAGGAGGATGAACAGGAGGTTGTGGTTGCTGACACACCTAACTTTGGAGAAGCCATGGGTAAGTGAGTGTGGTTGTGGGTAGAGAGCACAGTTGGTGCAGTGGTAGTTATACACTGATTAGTAGAATGGGATGGGATGTCAGAAATTTGGAAAAGGTGAGACACTTTGAGGTCTGAAGGAAATTGTATGGGCTGGCTAGGGATGTGAAAAACAGGATGGCTGGCTCTAGGCAGAGAAGGTGTGAGTCTCTCAACTGGTGCGCTTGGGTTTAAGGAAGATTGGCGGCTTTGAGTTGTTGAGTGTGAGGAAGAGCAGGAAGAGTTCTTTGCAAGAGTAGAGCTGAGGGACTTCACTGCCAATTGCTCCTCTAAGAAATCAGAGAGAAACTATTTATGCAACAATTTATGCCATGCAAATAATTGATTATTATTGTACTTCTGATACTGCTAGTCCAATGTTTATAATGCAAGTTCAATAAAGTGCAAGGAAAAACCGGTACCTATTCAGGAATTTCTTTGATATTAAGCAGATTGTTATATATTTATGAATAGGTACACATACATTATTTGAATGCCAATTAGACCAATAAAGGTAGCCACAACAATATTTATATATGCATATAGTTGTCAGTAGAATGTAGTGTTTAAACAGTCATTCTAAATCAGAATCAGAATCAGAAAGAGCTTTATTACTGCCAAGTATGTTTGCACATACAAGGAATTTGTTATAGTGTCACAAGCTTCCAGTACACGGAGACAACAACAACACACAGATAAATTTATTATTTTATTTAATAAAATCAATGTATTACACTGAGTAATTTAAATTAGTGATTAGGAATTGAGTAAAGAGAAAATAGATTGTATAGATTATATTACACAATGAGTTTTGGAATTTAAGTAATTTTATTGTTTGCCACACTATTGTTGTCATTGTGTCACTTGTGAAGCTGATAAACCCTTTAAAATCTCCAAACCAAATTTCTAACCTTTAGTACTTTAATTTTCTTTCGATTGTTGTAATCTTTACTGCTTTTCAATTGTTTCTACTCACTGCTTACACAAACATCACCTAGGAAACATAACATATGGGGAGTTTACCTCTGGCTGACCTTGTTAGAAACACTGTATTTGTATTAAAGGCCAATTAAAGTGTAGTATTGCTCTTCTAACCAAGGCTCCCATAAATGCCACCTACTGTGCCACTTAAACCCTCATTATCATTACCCTTCAACAACATCTTTTTAATATTAATAAATGCATCTATTATCATATCTCATAAAATATGAAGAACATAATGCTACTGTTCATTTTCACCTCTTTTTTTAGCTAGTCCTGTACATTGCTGTCTCCTCCTAGATCGCTCTCTCTATCCACTCACACCCTCCGATCTGAAATCCCATCCCTCAACCAGCTTACAGTGCTTTAGCACCGCTAACAGCCAACTTTGTTTCCACAGCAACAATGACCATGGACAATGAACCTCACCACAAAATTCCTAAGCCCCTTCACAACCCACCTAGTCTGAGTAAGTGAATATATGCTATTACATCTCATATATTTAAACAAATCTTCTGTCCTAACTCAGCGAAGCCTGAAAGGTCATTGAGTCTTAGTGCCATTGTCAACCACTGAAAACAGCAAGATTGCTTAAAATAAGTGACCTTCAGCATCAGAGCTATATCAAAAAGAAATAATAGCATGCATACAAATTACTTAGCAACACATACACATGCATATGCTAGGGAGAGATGCATAAAGTTTCCTGTACTTCAAGAACTGTAGCATTTAAGTCACAGATCAACACACTTTTATGCATGTACTTCCTGAGTGCACGACCACAAAGCCTCACGGAGACAATGAAGTCTCATGTCATTCCCGTTAAGGCACTCAAGTGGCTCCTTCTTTTTCAGTGTTGTCCACCTTTTTCCACAACCTATTTCTAATCCCCTTTTCAAAATCCAGTTCAGCATATTACACATTCCTGTTCCTTTTATGTTCACTTCACTATTTGTTCTTCTTTTCTTTTCTTTTTTAAACATTCTTGATAGCCATAATATCGTGGGTGGTCTAAAATCCAAGCTTGGGTCGGAAGATGAAAAGCACTAATTGGACATTCATTCAAAGGAAGCTGTTGGGATGTAACTATGTCCAAATATTACAGAAATTCCTTTTATTTTTACATTTGTTTTATTTTACTTTTCTTAAAATGAGATCAGTTATTGTAAGCATATGAATCTGTTAATGTCACAGCAAGTATCTCGATCTCGAATGACATTTGCAAGACGGCTCACTGACAGAAACAATGGAGCTCTCTTACTAAACAGTAAAACATTTCTCACCATGTTGAAGTAGCCACGAAGTGTTGAGGATGGGGCTGAAAAAGTGCTGAGGTCTTTTCTGTTTCCGGCGTGACATGATGCAGGGGAAAGTCAATGGCTAATTGGCCCATGGGTTGAAACAGATTGAAAATCTTTCTCTTTGAGCTAAATTACAGTAAATCTCACTGCATCAGTTCAGAGAAACAATCAAAAATCCATGTTTCATTTATCTAGAGAGCTACAAGGCCAAATGCCAAGTGCATACATGAGCAAGCAATGTCTCAAAAGTGAACTAAGCACTTGGCAAGCTAAATCTGTGTCTATTCAGTGTCTAACTAAAATCCAAAGACAACTCTCCACCTCCTTTACCCCGTTTCTCTCTCAAACACAGTCTCGGCTTGTTCTCTCTGCATTTGCATTCAAATAACGCAGAACACCACCTACTCATGCATATACCCCTCCTTTCCCTTACACCCCCAAGTTTTAAGGCGTTCCCCAGACTCTTTTTTAAGTCTCAGTAGTATTTAATAATTAGACACCAGGTAAGAGCATGAAGGGCTGAGACAAAGTATAAAGTGCAATTTGGTAAACACTGATAGACATTTTTTTATTTCACATATTTTTTATATATATATTTGATAGCTTATTGCAAAGAATCTGTCAGGGGACCACATGTATTCATAGTTACCATTTTGTATTATATTTGTTTTATAATGTCATATTCTGACTTTAAACTTTAAACTAAAGTCATGCATTCAACAGGCCAGCATTAACTTCATTAGAACTTAAAAGGGCTTGCAGAGGTTATCTTATTTCAGTGGCATTACTATATTAATACAGTTAAGGCCTAATAATAGAATTTGAAACAGTCTACATTTTGACTGTCTATAATACGGATGTGTCCTGTTTTCAGAGCAGTTTTCAGTAGCATAATCTGTAAAGTAATGGTATTTAATTTAGAAAACCATTATACATCCTTGCACTCAACAGAATTATATATGTCATGTACACACGTTTCTTTCTTTCATTTAATTATTTATTTATTTTATTGTTATTTTTTTTAATTATTTGGCTTTCACAGCATTTGGTTATGCACACATTCCTTACATATGACACATTATTATATAATTTGTGTCAAAACGTAAGAAGACCATAGAACACCATTTTCAACGCCTGAAAAACTCAAGACATTTTTATTAAAATGATATTCATGCCAAAACACAAAGTGTTTAGCTTGCATGTCAATGCATGCTATAATACACCTCGTAAAATTCTTGTACAAATGTCATAATTACGTCAGCCAAATGCACGCGGAACTACAGCTCTACTGTACGCGCGACCTGTTGCGTCCTCCGGCGCGCTCTATGATCATCATAACCAATTATGATTCATATTTCTTATGACTATATGAGATACTTTGACGTCTCTGACATTTTGAGTGTACTGATTGTAAATGATATAAACACTTACCAGCAGACGATCATCTTTCACGGCTGTTTTCAATATTAGGATAGATTAGGTCGTACAGTGTCTGGGTCGTAATATCATCAGTGCTGTTCCGGCATTTTGCCACCGTGATGCGCAGTCGGCTTTGACAGCAGGCAGCTCGACATCTAAATTATTTATTTGCTGTACTGTCGTTACACTGTATATTCTGCTGTAGTCGTGACTGATCACTTCTCACCCATTATTCAGTGTTTGGTTTGATGGCACATTGCGATTTCGTAAAGAGATATTTCGCTATTCCCGTCATTCCCATAGTCCTCCCCTCCCTCGCTGCTCTGCTTCCTTTGTATTTGGTAAAATGGCCCTCTCCCCGGCCTGAGCCTTTGTTGAGCACACTGACGCTGCAGCATCGACGGATGTCTGTCTGTGAGTCTGTCGGTCCAATCCGGACACTGTCTCTGCAGAGTAATTAACGAGCCATTAAGAGTCATGTTTGTCTTTGAGCTGCCTTTAAGAGCGAGGCCTTTACGGTTCGTTTGCTTTTTAGATGACGTAATTGGAATTTTTTTAATTATACATTATTTTATCCTATAGCTAATAATTCTTACAAGAAAAATGCCATTTCCACGAGTACGGTGTGGGTAGCCTACATACATTTCCGGGTTCTCGTTGTATTTCACATCTTTTAGCTATAAAATTGGAGTTGTTCATTGCTACAGAGTTACAGTAAGAGAGCTGTTCGGTTTACAGTATTACTAAAACATGAGTGGCTACGTTGCTAACAAGTTGCTAAATAAGGACTACAACTACCACAAGGATGTGGGTTTATGTGTTTGATGACTTGGACAACAGTTGTAGTCCATGAAAGACAACTTGTTAGAAACATGTGTTTGGAAAACATAGGCTTTCACATAGTCATGTAGGCCTATAACTTTATGCAATTTATGTTGTTGAACAAAGTGTAAAAAAAACCAACAACAAAAAACTTTTTTTTTTGTTAACCACAAACCATATTTTATCCATAAACCCTCTTACCAAGGAGACCATGGCAAAGCCTTCCAGAAGGCTAGAGCCTGTCACTAAGCAGCTCTAATTATGTACTGTGTGTATATATATATATATATATATATATATATATATATATATATATATATATATATATATATATATAAAAACATTT